CGCGCGCGTCCTGCTGGCCGAGAACTTCACGGGCTGCCTGGGCCGCGTGGCGCTCGGCGGCCTCCCGTTGCCCCTGGCGCGGCCGCGGCCTGGAGCGTCCCCCGGGACCCAGGAGCACTTCGTCGCCTGGCCGGGGGCGCCGGCCCCGAGTCTCGGCTGCCGCGGCGCGCCCGTGTGTGAGCCCTCGCCCTGCCTGCACGGCGGCGCCTGCCGAGACCTCTTCGATGCTGTCGCCTGCGCCTGCGGCTCGGGCTGGGAGGGTCCGCGCTGCGAGGCCCGTGCCGACCCCTGTCGCTCTGCCCCCTGTGCCCGCGGCCGGTGTCACGCGCGCAGGGACGGCCGCTTCGAGTGCCGCTGCCCTCCGGGATTCGTGGGCGCGCGCTGCAGGTGCGGGCGGCGGGACTAGGGTAGGGGTGGGGTGCAGGGCAGTGGAGGGGTCCGAGTCGGGGGCATCACTTTCCTCATGAGTTAAATGGGGTAGACAGCTCAATCGGAGACACCTGAGGCTCGAATGCGACTTGTGTGGCTCGCTAACCATAAATTTCAGAATGTGCTGTGGTCTGGGAGGTGACTGGGGAGCCAGAGCTAGTTTTGGGAAATGATGTTAAGGTGGTGTAGCCAGCGTCCACATAGTCCCCTCGGCCAGGGCTGAGCGAGCAATCTGGGTCCTCAGCCTAGGCTCTGCTCCCCGCTATCCCCAAACTCTCTGGGTCCTCTAGTGGCCTGACCCTCCTCCATGAATGCCCACCAAAACTCTGAGGTGCAGCCCTCCCCCAGTCCTTCCATTTCTCTGGCTTCTCGGTGGCCTCTCAGTCCCAGGAAAGTTCTCGCCCTGTCCACTGGATGGACAGTGAGTTGGACAGCAGGCCAGGACTCCTTAGTTCCCATGTAGACCAACTTCCCTATAGGCTAGGTAGGTTTGTAGGACTGGACTCTGACTTCTACAGATGAGGACAAGGCTCAGTGACTCTGTCACCTGGTCCAGCCCTGTGCTTTCTCCTCAGGTTGTCCATCTTGCCTGAGGGGTGTGGCCTCAACTCCACTTGCCTCAGTGGTGGCCCCTGTGAGGCTGGGCCCAGCAGTGCCAACTGCAGTTGCCAGGAGGGCTCTACTGGCCAGAGGTGGGTCTGGGGGCTGGGGATGAGCAGCTGGAATGGGGACCCTCCCTCTCCATCTCATCCTCATGGTTATTGCCATGCCAGACAGCCCAATTGTCACCTGATCCTTCTGGAGCATGCAAGCCCATTTTTTGCTATGTAGATGTGGCTAGCATTTCTTGGGGGTGGGTCCTCAGTTGCCCTGATCACAGGGAAGACTGAAAATACAGTGTGGGTTTCCAGATAGACTTAGTGTCCCTGGACAGCACTTGTCTGTCAATATGCTTTCCTGTCCTTCTTGTGGAGGGCCTGTCATGGACAGGAACGCTGGACTGGAGGAGGGGCAAGTGGTGGCCATTGCATTCAGCTTTGGTTCCCTGGCAGAGTCCCACCAGCAGTAGCACTGCTGCTCAGGGATGGTGGATGATTTTTGAGGCTTGGTTGGGGGTGGGGAAGCAACAGGAGTAGCGGCCCTCTCAGCTCCCACCCTGTCCCTCCCCAGGTGCCGAAACCCCACCCTGCCCTGTGAAGCCAACCCCTGTTTGAACGGGGGCACCTGCCAGGTGTTGGGTGGGGCGTATGAATGCACCTGCAGCTCAGGATTCTCCGGCCCGATCTGTGAAGTGGTGGTGAGTGGTGGCCAGGGTGCAGGCTGGCTGCCTTCAGGGAGGTGGGGTGGAGCGATCCCTGCACCGCCTCTGCTATGGAGGAGAGCGGCAGAGAAGACTGCTCCCTTGCATGTCCTGCTAAGCCACACAGGAGGCATTTTGTCTCTAGGAGATGTGGGGTTCCATCATCCATGAGTGAGGCACAAGGCTCCTGGCCAGCATGGGCCTGGGGCTCCCTACAGTGCCCAGGGAATGGCAGTGGGGACAGGTGGGTTCTGCCCAGTCTACTCTGGGACCACAGTTCCAAGCCCAGAGGATCTGGGAACCTCTAAACTCTAGAAGTTTCCAAATCAGGAAGATCTGGGGAGCCCAAAATGGGCCAGGGCAGGCTTGGCCGTGGTGAAGGTGTCCTTGATGCTGGGGGGCTCAGCTGAGGATGATCCTGGACAGAGGGGAACAGCACTCTAGCTCAGGACTGGAGCAGGCCCTGACTCCATCGGAGGGGCAGTGAGTCCGCTGTGGTGCTGGCAGGAGGCCGTTAGGAAAGATAGTCTGGTCTCTGAAGGTTTCTGGCAGCGGGGTCATAAACTGCAGATCCCGTTTCTGGGGAATGTTTCCTTTCAAGTTGAACTTTTACAGCCTCTGGTTTCCCCACCCACTGGTCCTTCTCCTAGGCCAGGGGCAGGAAATGGTTTTACGGTTCCCCTAGGAGTGCCAGGGAAGAGGCCTTTGAGGACCTGCCCAGGACTGGAGCAAGCTTTGGGTCCATTCTTGAGGGCTGCATGCTGGGGCTGGGGACACAGGTCACAGCTGACTAAGGAACCTCAATATACAGAGGGAGGGCCGGTGCGGCTGAGACTCCTGAGCTCTGTAGTTCTGGGACTCTGGGGCTTCAGAGTCCAGGTGTGCAGGCCACTGCATGAGGGCATCCTGGGGGTCTGTGACTGCAGGTGGGGAAGAGGTTGGCTGCACCCCTCAAAGCCTGGCCCTAGTCTCCCAGGGACAGCTGTGGGCATAGTCCCTCAGGTGGGCAGGCCCCAAGCACTCTGACCTTACCACCATCAGAGCTCAGTCTGCCCTCACTGCTCCTGCTTTGGAGGACAGTACTGCGCAGTCTCACTTCGTGCACTGGGCATGCCCCGAATAGTTACTTTCTTCTCCAGCTGGAGCCCCTTAGCCTCACCACACCTCTCACCCTCAGTGGCACCACAGGTGGCTCCAGAAAGTCACCCACTTGCATTCCCCTGGGCCGGGTCTCTTGCCACCTTCTGGGGAAGCCTGCTTTCTGCTTGGGTTTTCTCTGAGCACATCCTTGTGTTCCTTCCCTCCCTCCCCCTTGCAGAAGGGCCTGCCGCTGCCACTGCCATTCCCATTGCTGGAGGTGGCTGTGCCTGCAGCCTGTGCCTGCCTCCTCCTCCTGCTCCTGGGTCTCCTTTCAGGGATCCTGGCTGCCAGGAAGCGCCGCCAGTCAGAGGGTACCTACAGCCCAAGCCAGCAGGAGGTGGCTGGGGCCCGGCTGGAGATGGACAGCGTCCTCAAGGTGCCACCCGAGGAAAGACTTATCTAGGTGGCCTGGCTGCCTGGAGGTCCTGTAGGATTTCCAACTGGAGACCCAAAAAAGCCGCTCCCAGGACCCAGGACACCTGCTGGAACGTCCTTGTGGCTGGCAGCCTTTGCGGATGCCCCATCAGGCACTGAGGAAAGGGGAACAGCTCAGGAAAGCAGAGGGCGCCTCGAGGTGGTGCACCTCTCCACTTGGCCCTCCAGGCCACCCTGGAAGGTGTACAGCTGTGTGTGGGGGCACACAGGTGCAGGTGGCATGGTCAGGAGCGTGTGTGCCTGAATATGGGCGGATGCCTAAGTCCGCTGTGGGTGTTGTAGTGTGTCTTGTGGTGTGTCTGCCTCTGCTGCCATGTGTGTGTGACTGTGTAGTGAGGGCAGGTGACCCTGTGGGGGACGTGGCTGCTCTGAGAGCAGGGGGCACCTGTGCATCTTGGGGCAGGGGCAGCTCAAGGCTGCAAGTTCTCCAGGAGGTTCAGCCAGGGCTTGGCCTGGCACCACGGCTTTGGTTCTGACATGTCTCCCCACTGCAGAGGCAGTCTGCCCCAGAGACTGCTGGGAAAATGGAGGGAGGGCATTCAATGGGTTCCTGGCTCCCAGAACAAAAGTGCCTTCAGGCGGATCTGTCCTGCCAGTGCCAGAGCCAGTCACACCGATGGGAATCCCAGAGCCGCCCACCGATGCTGTGTCTGCTGGGCAGGCCGCAGGAGCAGAGGACGCTGCCCTGAATTTCCTGCCTGGCTAGGGGTATTGGCAGATGATCCCTCCTGCCTGCCTCTCAGGGCTGTTGTGAGGATCAGAGGGGCTGCCAGCCAGGAAAGGAGACATGACGTTGTTCAGCTCCTCTAATGTGAAGGATGGCAGAGGTGTCCTTGGTGTCTGAAGTGTCATTTCCCTTGGTTAGAGGTGGGAAGGCTCCTACCCGGGGCCCGGCAGGATGAAGGGGACTTGTCCTCACAGCTCACCTGAGCACTCCGGTTCTCTAGTGGCTATTTGTCCCCCAGGCTGGCCCTGTATGTGGTTGTGGGCTGGCACAGGGAGGTGCTGGAAGAAGCCCTTGGAGCCACCTGCCAAGCACCTGTGCTCCGCAGGCACTGGTGTCAGAGCCAGTCCTCCAGGGGTGGAGTGGAGGAGGATGGTGCCGCATCCCTTCATCACAGTGTGACCTCAGATGCGAGGGCACCTGCCTCCCTTGGCTTCACAGAATCCCAATGAGCCGGAGAGGGCCCCCAGTGTCCTTACCTCTCAGGCTGGCACCTCCTATGATGTGAGCTCCAAGGCCAAGACCAGGAGACTCTTACACTTCTAAGTTGGTTGATTTCCCCTGGGGCACTGCCAGAGGCGCCGCACTGGCCCCCCCCCCCCCGAGCTTATCCCGCCTGCCTTTCTTTTCTCTCCATGCTCCTGAGAGGGCGCAGAGCAGGAGGGCTCTCTGGCTGGGTTATGAAGTCAGAGATTTGGCAACCAGTGCCAACTTCAGGCTCCTAAAAGGGGACATTGCAGTTGACACTTCAGCATGATTTGCTTTAACTCTGTGATGATGGTCACTGTGGGTGACTGGTCTGGCTGCTCCCTTCAAACAAGTGCCCGATAAGGCTACAGTCTGATCGGAGGCTCTGCCCTTGCGGATGAGCCCTGCATTTGTTTTTTCCTGGTACCTTGGGTGCCCTGGACACTGTTGGCGGCCTACAACCCTGCTCTGTGGTTCCAGCAGGACTGTGTGGAACTGACCTGCGACGGGCTGTGTGCCAGGTGGCCCAGGCCTCAGGACATCCAGCACACCCATGTCCTGCCTATGAGGCAGCAGTGCCTGGCCCTGAGCTCCGAGGGGATGGACTGGTGGGAATCTTTCCCTTCCTGCCCCTTGCCTGCCTCCACTCCACTGGAGGGATGGTAAAGGAGTCTGGGGCCACTGGGGCCTCTCCTGCCCACAGCTTCCTTTAAGGACACAAGGATGTCAGCCTTTTCCCCAAGAAGGCTTTATTGAGTGGACACACAGATCCTTGGGTTTGCGAATTCCATCTGGTGAGTGAAGACTGCGGTGTTCGCATGAACCTGGAGTGCTGGCCACCGGCTGCCAGCACAGCCATGGACAATGAGGTGTGCCTGCTTACCTGGGCCACCTGGCACCTCATCTCCTCCAGGCTGCGGGGGCTGCCATGTCCCCATTGGGCCCAAGGCCTGCCAAGGACGGGTGTGGAACTGGAACCTGTGCTGCAGTGCCTGAGTCCCGGAGGGGGCCCACACAGCCCATGTGAGACGGGGCTCCCCGGCCGTCAGAGAGCACTCCTGACACGGGGTGGACTTGTCCTGGGTAACAGCTGACCTGGAAAGGGCTGCTTGCCAGGTGGCCCAGGCCTCAGCAACTCCTGAGCAGTGGTGGTGTCCTCCCAGCCTCTCAGACACAGGGGGCTCTCTGGTGTGTTGGGGACCTCCAAAGACTCCTTCGTCACCAGACACCCTGCCCCCCAGGAAGACTTGTCTGACGGTTCACGAATAGGAAATGAGAAATGAGGTCAAAATGCTCACAATTTCCTGCGTGCCTCAGATGGTTGTTTTCTTAAATGGTTGGGCTGTTTTCAAACTTGGTTTATTGAAAAGAGTTTTCAAGATTCATCAAATCAATAAGGTACAAAGGAAAAGAAAGATAAAAGAAACAATAACAATACATTCCAATTTAACTTTGGTGATGTTGGCCTCAGGAATCTCTGTGCTGGCGAGCAGCCTGCTGAGCAGCTCAGGGTGGATGTGGAGGGGCTGACTCTTAGGTGTCCCCAAGTCCCCTCCACAGAGGCTGCGAGGGTCCAGGGCTTCCTGGTCCTGCCCAGGGTACTCAGGTTGTGGTGGCACCTCTGTCGTCTCTGGCCTTGGAGTTGGCAGCTGGGTGGCTGCTACTCAGCTCTGCCTGTGAAGTCCCAGAGGGCAGGAAGCTGAGCCCCATCTTTGACAGTGACAGAAGAGTGGGACAGCCTTGAGGTCCCAATGTGACACTCAGGCTGTGGGGATCTTTTTCCTTTTACAAATCAGAGTTGCTGGTGCTCCCTGGCCCCACATGGGAATGTCTGGGGCTGGGTTTGGCCACCACAAGGCCCTGGAGGAACAATGTGGCCCCCAGAAACAACTGGAACCTGTGGGCTGGGGTGGAGACCCATGAAAAGAGTATATTGCTAGAGTGGGTTTGGAGCTGCTCCTCTGGGGAGCCCTGCAGCCTGGGAAGGGCCCTCACACCACCCCTGAGCCACCTGTGTCTCCTGCACATGGCTCACTCTGGGGCTTATGTGCGTCGCAACCCCAAGTTGGCTGCAGGATGGACAGGAGAGAGAGAGCAGGATTCCTTGTGGAGTGGGGTGCAGGAAGGGGGTGGCAGGATGAGGTCTGGGGCAGTCGCTGGCCCAGCTGACTCTAGTGCAAAACCCAAGCAGGTGCTGAGGAGGGGGTGGGCACTGGCACTATCCCCCAGGGCAGCAGGGCCGTGTGGAAGAAGGGTAGGGAGCAGGCCCCATCCCTCCCCACCGGCACCCCCTGGTAGGTGCAGGGTGGAGGGCCTCCATGACTCTGTGCCCTCAGCCCACTCACTCAAAGGTCTCCCACTGCCTCCGGAGCTGCTCCACTGAGCTGGGTGCCGGGGCCGGCCTCACGTCCTGCTTGGTTTTCTGTAACAAATCCTCAAAGGGATCACTGGCCTGCGGAGGAGCAGAGGGCTGCAATGCTGGCTCCAGGCCCCGGGGGGGTCTGGGAGGCAGGAGTGGGGGATCCCCAGGCCTCAGGGCCAGCACCTGCTTGGCCTCAGCTGCCCTGGCACTTGAACGGGGTAGGGGCAATGTTCGGATCCTCGATGGGGCAACAGAAGGGGGGCCCAGAGGCTGCATGGGGCTGGTGTGGGTGCCCATGGGCACCTGACCGAAGAGGTTGGGCATGGAGAGGGCAGACAGGTTGGTCTGAGATCTGTGAGGTGTGCAGAAGCCAGAACTGGACAGGAGGAGGCTGGGCGCAAATGGCCCCAAGGAAGCTGGGGGGGCCCCAAAGGGTCCAGTTGGTGTGGAACCCAGGTGCAAGGCAGGGGGTGCTACTGGCACAGATGGGACAAAAGGGTTGAGTGGTGGCTGAGGGAAGGGGGTGGGCATCCCTGAAGGTGGAAAGCTGAACTGGGGGGTGAAGGGGGTGGCCACATTTGGGGTGGTGGGGTGTGGCGGGACGATGTCACCTGACCAGGCTGTGTGTAGTGGGTCCAGGAGGGCAAGCAGGGCATCACTGCCTGTGTCTGGAGCTGCTGGAGCTGGGCTGAGTGGTTGCAGCAGTTCTGTGGGACCATGGGGTGCCACCCTGGGGAGGAGCCCCGGGAACAGGGCTGGGCTCAGAGCAGCTTGCCTCTCCTGATCTGCTGAGAAGTCCCCGAGTATTCTGCTGGCAGCTGGGAGCTTGGCTGGGCGGGCGGCGGGTGGTGGAGGTACGATGCCCAACTCTGGTGTCTTCCGGCCCTGTGGTCGGGGGATGGTGATGCTGCCTGGAGTGGGCGTGGGAGCCTCCTCTTTGTGGCTGGGAGTCAGGATGCCGTCCCGGGCCGGAGGCCTGCAAGGCAGGCTCGGGGAGCTTCCAAGCAGGGCCGAGGGCTGCTCAGGGGAGGTGCTGGGGGGCTTGCTGGGGATGGCCATGTCGTCCTGGCCCAGGCTCCAGAGCTTGTTGTATGGGTGGGCAAGCTTCAAGGCCATCATCATCCCAAGGCTCCTCTCACTCCTGCCCAGGTCCAGCCGCTGTTGGGAGGGAAGAAGGAAGGTGGTGACTATGGGCTGACGGCCCAGGACTGAAGGGAGGGACAATGGGCCACTTCCACTCCCTCCTATGTACCAGTGGGGATGGGACTGAGCTTGCCGGCTTGTGGCCCATCAGCTCCTAGCACTTGGAACAGACTGGAGCTCGCTCCAGGGCGCCAACCAAGAGCCCTGGCCATGTGCCCCATGGGGAACTCAGGAGGATGTGCCTGTCCTTTGCACTGGGGGTACTCATAACACATCATTTTAGGAAGAAGGCTCCTATTTCCTGGCCTTTCACTGCTCTGACCCCTTTTACTCTTCAGAGCATGTGGCACCTGTGCTCACCCCAGGAGGACAAGGCGGGCATTGCACCCGGCTGGGGGTGCCCTGGTGGTGGAAAGAGAGGACCAGACCTGAGTCCTGGCTCTTCCACCTCTGAGCTGCTCTACCTGGGCAAAGCCACTCCCTGCTCTTGGCCATGAATTATGGGACCTAAGGGGACAGTGTGAATTCCAACGTGAACCAGTGGCTTCAAGGGCAGCACAGACAAGGGGTGGGATGGATGGGAAACTAGAGTGGGAGATCAGTGGCCACACAAGAATAAGCCAGAAACCCACAGGAATTTTGACCCAAAGGCTCCTCTAGGGAGTCTTAGCAGGGATGGGAGCAGTCCCAGGTCCAGCAGGGGTCAATGCCCACCTGTCTGCTCCACAAACACAAGCAGCAGCAGCAGCAGCAGATTTCTACCTGGGTGTGGGCATTTCTCCAGGCCCCGGAGGGGCTGGCTGCAGGCCCACAGGGCAGGGTCTGTAGCCACCTGGCCTCCAAGCGTTGGCTGGGAACTTCCTTCCTTGGTCTCCCCCACTGTGACCTGGGGGTTCTGCCTCCCGTGTGTGTGCAGCAGCAGATGCTCCAGTCCGTGCCATACCTGATAGTCAAAGGTCCCCGGCTGCTCTCGCATGTCTTTGGGGGCCCGAAGGTCCTCTAGGCTCTTGGCCTGGCCCAGCTGCACCGGGGCCTCCATGTCCAGGCTGCTGAAGACGTCTTCCAGGAGGTCAATGCTGGCAGCCCGGTCAGGCGGGGCGAGGACAGGGGCCCTGGGTTCCCGCTGCAGCTGCCTGGGGCTCTCTGCCTCATCGCCTTCTGCGCTGTCTGATTCCTTGAGCGTCCGATATGGCTGTGGCCTGGGAGGAGACAGCAGGCTGGATTCTCCCACCCAGGGTATCCATGGGGGAGCACGCAGCCCCCGGGGCCATGCCCTGAGACAGAGCGGGGCAGATGCTGGCTCCACGCTGGTACTACGTCTGGCCAGGTCACACTGGCTTCCACCAGCCTGCGGGGCCAGCGTAGTCCCCTCAGAACCATGCGTCTTTTCCTATAACTGCTGGGAAGAGGACAGAACTGGAAGGGGCAGGGCCGGGGCAGATACACGCCTTCCCTCTGCTCTGCATCTGGTGACTGACAAGCAGCCAGGGTAAGGTGTGAGCAGCTAGTGGGCAGCTGAGCTGGGAACCCCCAGGGGGCAGTGCCCGGCCTGCCCCTGTGTGCTCGGGGGCACCCCGCGGCCTCTGATTGTGCTGACCTCCATTCTAGCCCTGGCCGGGCTGTGTCTTGCTGTGGGAGCTCAGGCAAGGCACTTAACCTCTTTGAGCTTTTCAGCTCTTTGTTGGGGGTGGTGACCTCGTGGCCAGCACAGGGCCTCATGCGCTGCAGGCAGAAGCCGGGGGTAACGATGGAATCCACCAGCAAGCGTGGCCACCATGTGGGTCCTGTGCTGCCACTTTCTATAGGTTTCCACATCAAGACCTTGGGTGGGAGCCAGGAGCAGGTAACAGGGTGCCCTGGTGAACCTGACCTTTAGTGTGGGGAGCAGGGGAAGGCGGCAGCATGAGTCGGAGAACGGCAATCTTGGCGCTGGTACAGTGGAGGGCAGGCGCCACCTGCTGGCCACAAGAAGGCTCACAAGAGGGAACCTTTCCCCTGTAGCTCAGGAAGCAGGGCCTTTACCCCAGTACCGAACAGAAGTTCAGGGACCAAGCTGACTCGCAGCATCTGGCAAGAGGTGGACACGGAAGCCAAGCTCGAGAGACCGAAAGTCCTCCCTCACTCTAACCAAGCGCCCTGACCACGGAATTGAAGAGCTTTTAATCAAGTTTGAACACAACGAAGGGGATATAGCCAGCCAGGGTTCTTTTTAACCCTTTTCCTGTTGAGGCAGGGCGGGCCAGTTCTTTTTAAACACACACCAAGGCCCTTAGTGAGAAGAGGGCACTGGCGAGAGGAGAGCACCAGCAGTTACTTAAATAACCAAAGCACCACGGGGCAGGGCCTGGGCCCACCATTCCGGGTTCCCGGGGGAGAGAGCTGCCGACATCACCCAGGCAGGCTGCCTTTCCCTGCAAGGGGATTTCCAGGGGACTCCTGGACTGACGCTTCTCCTTCTAGTGTTTACTCTAACTGGTGATAGAAATAATAGCTAGCACACATCGCTAAGGTATCATGAAGCCTACTGTCTACGACAAGGCTGACTTGAAACATCGAAAAGCATCTGGAAGATGACTGTGAAGCTAGGGTGACACTGATTCCGCCTGCCCTTCTCTAACCTGGACAAGGGGAGGGAGCGACCTGCTGCAGCCACAGGTGAGCTGGTGGCAGAAGGGGCTGGGAAGCCTCTCCCACAGGGCAGGGCAGTGGCGGAGCAGGGCACAGCCGGGGGCGTTTCTGTGAACCAGCCAACAGTTCACTCCCTGGAAGGCCGTGGTACTGCGGGCGCATAGGCTCCGAATACAAACACCTCTGTGACTTTTCAAAGAAAAAGTAAAACGAAGTTGTTTCTTTGTTCAGTCCCAGCTCTGTAAAACTTGTGGGTAGAGGGGTAAGACCTGGCAGAGACAGGCGCTAAGGAAGATTGCTCTAGGGGTGGGCAGCCCAACTACTTTTTTCTTTTTATAGAAAGGTGAACTTTTAAAAAATAGCTTTTTGAGCCAGTGTGGTGGTGGCGTACACCTAGAAATCCAGTACTCTGGGGGGCCGAGGCAGGAAGATTGCAAGTTAAAATCTGCCTTAGGCAATTTAACTAGGACTTCTTTCAACATAAGGTAGAAAATATAACTCAGTGTGAAAGCCCTAAATTTAATACCCAGCACTGAAAAGAAAAGAATTGCTGTTTGTAGCCAGGCAGTGTAGTAGACACTTATAATCTTAGCACTCTGGGAGGCTGAGGCAGGAAGATGTCAAGTTTGAGCACAGCCTTGGCAAACTGGCAACTTAGCAAGACCCTGTCTCAGAATCAAATAAATAAAAAACAAAACATAAAAAAGGGCTGGAGAGGGGCTGGAGAGATGGCTCAGTGGTCTAAAGCACCTACTTGAAACAAGCTTGGCAAAGCACAGGGACCGCGGTTCGATCCCCAGCACCACATGCCAGCCAGACCCGCCCCCTGGTGGGCTGAGCTGGCCACACACACACACAATAAATAAATGTAATAAATAAAAATAAATAAATATTAAAAAAAAAAAAAAAGGGCTGGAGATGTAGCTCAGTGCAAAGGTTGTTTTTTCATTCATTCCTATTACTGCCCAAAAAACCAAAACCAAAACCAAAACCAAAACGCCCCAAACCTCCCCAAACTACCACCACAACAAAAAAACTATAAGCATGGACCTGGGGACCTGCCCATTAGCTCAGTTGTTTAAGTGACTGCTTAAACAGAGCAGTTTAAGGTTGCTGTGGTTAGATCCCCAGATGCTCAAGCCACACCAGACCTGCCCTGAAGGCATCCTGAGCCAGTCCAAAAAAAAAAAAAAAAAAAAAGTATGGGGCTTACGGTTATAAATAAAAATAAAATTACATGGTGGAAAGTCAGGCATATCAGACCATTTAGACATGCTGTACTAATTCATACAGACATTCCATTTGGACATGGTGATATAATCCAGCACTCAGAGGCTGAGACAGCAGTATCACAAATTTGGGAGTAGACTAGACAATTTGGTGAGACCCTGTCTCAAAAAAAAAAAAAAAAAAAAGTTAAGTGCTTGCCTAGCATGCTTGAGGTCCTGGGTTTAATTTTTAGTACAGCAGAAAAAAGAAAGAAAGAAATAAAACTCCTCACATTTTTTTCTTTTTTTTTTAACCTTAAAATCTGACTTCCATTTCCATGGTTTTCTGTGCTGTGACAGATAAAGGAGGCCTCAGGCATCAACAGCCAGGTTCCTCACGGTAACTGGCTCCATTCCCAAACAAGTTCACTCTCCTTAGGACTGGGACCGTGCTCCTGCCTGAGCCCGCCACCTCCCTCCACCAGAGAGAAGCCGAGCGGGCTCGCACTCCACACACCCTCCCTGCACACGAGAGCAAGCAGCACCAGCCCCATGCCCCATGCAGCCCTGAGAGTCACCAAGCTGAGCCTGGGGAGCTGGAAGGAGGAAGGAGAGACCATTCAAAGGGAGCAGAGAAGAAAAAGCTTTCGGTGAAGCCAGTGCTCGGGGCCTCTTCCCGCTGGCATTCATCATCAGAGGACTCTTCGGAGAGGAAGACCGCATAGTGTCGCAGGGGCTTTACCAGGCTGGGGTGGAGGAAGACAAGAGAGAGAAGAACAGGCGGTCAGGGCACTGTCACGACTCTACACACAGGCTGGGAAGGCGGCCACAGGGCACCACGGTGGGCGGGAAAGCGGCGGCTGCCGCCTTGCCAAGAGCCCCCTGCCACTCGGTTCCCGTCAGCCCTGACCTAGTGACTCCACTGCCACTAGAAAACGCTCAGTGCAGCAGACTCCCGGCCAAAGGTTCTCATCGCTGCTCTGTAACATTAAAACATGAAGCCAGAGCTGGGGATGTAGCTCAGCGACAGTGCTTGCCTAGCGCGTGCAAGGCCCTACGTGGCACCCTTGTATCCTAAGCAACTGAAGTTAAGCTTATACATTAAAAAATCATGGAGTCACCTCAACTTTCAGCAATAGGCATCTGGCATGACTGGCTGAACGTTACTTTTCTGCTAAACAATGTCTGTGAAGAAGAATTTAGACCTGAGGCTGCGGAGCTGCAATGTTTCCATCACTCTCCGTATCTGCGGAGTCAATCAGCTTCGGGTTGAAACTATTTGGAAAAATAGACTGTATCAGTTGCCAGACCTGCCACCCCAGCTGTATATTATTCCCTAAACAACACCGTGTAACCATTTGCACAACACTGGATGAGATGATATAAAGCCTCCAGGAGGACTGCCCTGGGTCTCTGCAAACACTCCAGTTCAGGTGAGGGCCTTGAATACTGTGGACTGTGGTACCCGCCCCCACCCCTTCCATCTCTCTGTGGAAAAATGCATACAGGAAAGGCTGGAAAGGTGCAGGCCTAAATGTCGGTAATAGCTAATGGGATTATGGGTGACTGCCCTCACCTGCTGCTTTTTAGTTTTCTACAATGTACATACCTACTTCAATAGTCAGGAAAAAATAAAAAAAGGAAAAAGTTAAAGAAAAAGAGTGAGCCACGTGGAAAAGCCCTCACGAGAAGGCCCTTTTCTGATTAGCGGCCGCTCTCTGGAGTCTCCCTTGGATGCTTCTTCAGAGAGTCTTTTTCATCTGTGATGTGGAAATTAAATATTCATTGTTATAAAAAATACATCTCCCTTGTCAGCCACCTGTGAGCTCTGCCTCTGTAAACAAACACATACACAGCCTAGAAAGACCTATGCCCAATTTCTATGAATTATAGACTGACTAGGATGCCATGGGCCACGGGCCCAGGAGTGTGTGCGGAGCCTGCCTGGGTGCCGGGCTGTGGTGTCCATACCTTTGCCCCATGGAGGGGGCTGCACTTGCTCTGAGGATCCCAGGAGGTGATGGGGAAGTTTGAGAAGGGAAAGTCACAGGGTACCTACGTGGGGCTGCTTGTTCCTCTCCACCCTCGCCAACCACAGCAGCCTCCTTCCTGTGCTTCTCATCAAGGGATTCCTTCAAGGTCTTTGCCAGGCAGGAATGTGACCCAAACAAGTGCAAGAGGATACTGCCCAGGAGCACAGGAGGGAGGTAGCTGCCCTCAGAGAGGGTGAGGGTGCTGTCCTGTGCTACTGCTGCTGCTGCCCCAGCTGTCTGCTAGCGCGGCTCCCAGAGCCACTACAGCCTTGGCTCTGTCATGCCTGCACCTTCCTCCCTCCCCTCATCCCTGAAGCTAGGCAGTTTGTCCTTAAACCAAAGAGCAAGTTGAGGTGTCACAGGGGAGCAGCTGGCCAAGAGTCATGCACCAGTTGGTTGTGGGCCACACTGCTCTGCCCTCCTGTGCCCAGGCCACCTCGATGGCTGCTGGAGGGCAGACATAGCTCAGCCTATCTTGGACAAGAGCTGCATGGGTCCAGGATGGGTGCCTCCCTTGGGTCCCAGTGCAAGGGCTGGAAGGGCTGACTCAGCCTGGCCATCCTTGGGGCAAGGCCTGGCTCCGGTTGCTTCCATGGCAGAGCAGGTCACCAACATATAGCTACCAGAACCTTGTTTTTTTTGCGGTACCCGGGATTGAACTCAGGACCCTGTGCTTGCGCTTGCCAAGCAAGCGTTTATTCTACTGAGCTATCTCCCCAGGCCCCAGAACCTTGTTCTGAATCACAAACCTGAGCCTGTCACTGTAGCTTAAAGTTTGCAAATCTTCCACTCTCAGTTGTGAGTTTGCTGCAGCTGCTGTGCGGTGAGTGAATCTAGCATGAACAGTGAGCAGTAAGCACATTCAGACTTGTAGGATGCACTGAGAGAGAGAGAGAGAGTGTGTGTGTGTGTGTGTGTGTGTGTGTGTGTGGAGGGGGGGAATATCACTCTTCAGCTGGGGGCTACACCTGTACAGGGGAGGAGAGGGGGCAGTGCATGCAGCAGCCAGGTGTGCTAGGGGCGGGGTGAGGGCTGCTCCAGCCTTCAGCACTGCCTGGGCCTTTACCTATGTACTCGTGCCTCCTCCCGCTCCTCCCCCTACACTTCAGCAGTCAGAAGCTTCGGGACAGTGTTCAAAATAGCATCCACAAGTGGGGGCTTTGCTGGCATTCTGCTTAGCTATCCTACCTCTCTAGCAGCTTAGCAGGAAAGACTCACTGACTAGGTTGGAGGCCTTCCTGAGTCCATCTATCCCACCCATCCGCCCGTATACCCAACCAAGACACACTTTGTACCTCCTACCTTGAGCAGACCCAGCACTAGATGAGCACTGGGGTCACAGTGAGGGACAGAGAAATGACCCAGTGACTCAGTGGGGAAGTGACAAACAGCAATTCCAGCCCAGGATGTCCATTGCTAAAGCCCTTTGTGTTCCATCAGAGGGGATGGCAGCAGAGGGACACCAGGGAGAAACCAGCCCTGCACAGGCCAGTGGAAGGAGGCTCCCAGTGTCCTCAGTGCCACTGTGGATGCTTTTCTGGTGCCTCCCCTAAGTACAGCCTCCTACTTTAGCTTTGACAAGGACGCACAGGTCACAGTCTGTGTGTTAGCTGATGCCACTAAACCTGCCAGGAATTTCCTGGATTCACAAAGAACAAACAGACTGTGCTGGACTGTGAGGCCCCTGGTATCATTAAGTCAGGTTGCCGAGGTGCAGGTCACGTCCAAACCCCAGGCCTCCTGCACCACATGATGGGGTGGGGTGGGGTGGGATGCTGGGTCTGGATGAGGGAAGAGAGGAAGCCTCACTTTCCAGCCCACAAACCACGTCCCGCCTCCAGAGGCCTTTGCTAGCCAGCCCTGGCTGGTTGGGCACTGGCTTCAACAGCAGCCCGAGGGTGGCTCCAGAGCAATGGGGTACAGGGGCGACACTTACCACACGATCTGGTCAGATCAGAGGGTTTTCGTGTCCATGCCACACTTAGGATGGACTAGAACAACTTCCAAGCATCAGGCCAAATGCTACCCATGTAATTGCTCACTCTCATGACATTCCAAGAAGCTGAGGCTCAGGTAGGGGGAGTCTTTTGCTTGGGGTCACAGCAGCCAAAAGTAGAGAGAGGAACTGAATTTAGATTTGCCTGACTCTAAACCACCGCGAGATCCCGATTTTCTAGTTTTCTGGATCTGAAACAATGACATGAGAGATAGGGTGTTACCCCTTCCACTTTTAAATGAAAGGTGAGATTTCAAAATAAACTTATTTAAATTCAGCTGCTCATGTTCTCCCATAAAACATATAGTCAGATATTTGTCAGAGATAAAGGATGAACCATCGAAAACGTCCAGGTTTAAATTTTTTATTAGCTTAAGGCAGAATATGGGAAAAAAAAATGTACCTCTTCCCTCATTAACCCAATTCAGCTACTACCCTGCAGTCTGCCACCCACCACTTGCCTGAATTTTATTACACACAAAGGGCTGTCTGTGAAAAGGCAGGTTGTGGCGAACTTGGCTACCCAGTGAGGGCTGCCGTTGTCTCGGCGCGAAAGAAAGGCTCGCTGTCCATCACGGCTCGGACCCCATCCTCCCTGCGGCTGCCCCCGCCTCTGCCTGCCGTGCTCGGCGCGGAGTTCCCATGCAGATGACTCCTGAGCCCTTTCTAATGTTTGGTTGAACGTGTTGCCGGTTAGCGCGCGCATGTGACAGTGGTGACAGGCGAGGCTGTTCCTTTTTAAATACCATGTCAGAGACACGGCGTCAGGAAGTGGGGACGTGCTCTGTGCTCTCCGCCGTGCCAGGACCGCACCGGCTTATTTTTTAATGAGGAAGATCTGCATCTCCAGAGTTTTTTTTCATGTGTCACATCGTGTGGACAAATCAGCAGCACGTCACGCTGGCCCAAAATGAAATGCTGACAAATGTAGATATTTCAAATTTAATTGACATTTAAATGTACTTGAGATAAAGATGGGAAGAAATCAGCCAGGACTCGGTCTCCCGAGGTAATGAAGGAGAGCCGGTGATCATTTTTTAAAGGATCATTTCGCTCCAGCACAAAGGGTCTTCACTTGGTAAGTGGCTGGGTCACACCATGTCCCTCAGCAGTGTGGCCTCCTGCAGCGTGAGGAGCAGGGAGAGCCCAGGATGCAGCCGGCCCGGCCTTCCTGGCTGATGTGGGTCTGCTCATCTCCTGTCTTCCTCCTCTTTCTATCCAGGGCACCTGGAAAAGTTATTTTACGTCCCTGGACCTCAAACAGATTCCAGAGCCCCCCCATGAAAGTCTTCTCATAAAAGTTAAAATGAAAATATTTGCAGAGGGGCTGGAGAGATGGCTCAGTGGTCTAAAGCACCTACTTGAAACAAGCTTGGCAAAGCACAGGGACCACGGTTCGATCCCCAGCGCCACATGCCAGCCAGACCCGCCCCCTGGTGGGCTGAGCTGGCCACACACACATAATAAATAAATGTAATAAATAAAAATAAATAAATATTAAAAAAAAAAAGAAAATATTTGCAGAGGCCTTTGTATAGTGCTCCGTGCATTGTGGTATTTACTCATTAATCCTAGTCCACATCCACCTGCCAACCAAGAGGTCTAGGAGTCTGTGTCCTGTGCAGGGCTATCCTTAGAAGTTGGGGGCTGTGGAAGATGGTCCTTCCCTGTTAGGGGCCCTCAGGCCAGGCTGCAGGGTCAGGACTCCAAACCTCCC